GAAATAATGTGTTATAAATAACTCTCAGCTACTAATGCATCAGTTTTTAGCTTAATATCTGTAAAATCAACTGAACTGTAACCATTTTTGTGTTTTCTGAGCTCAGTTGGCTGTGGTGGTCATATTGAGTTGAACTGATTCCAACATCAGTTCCAGAAATTTTAATTAAAATCCATTCATGAGATATTTTGCTAACAGACAGACACAAGTTTTAAACAGATCTTGTGCAGTCAGTTGTGGCTCAGAGTATATCTCAGGGATTAGATCAGGGCAGCCAAACTCAGTGACACTTGGGGGCCAAAATTCAAAACTTGGTCCAAGCCAAGGGCCAGTTTTTGTTCAATTMATATTGAAGAGATGTTTGATAGAAATTTATTCCTAAAGAAATACAAATAAGCTTTTCTAAACTATATATTACAGAGCATTTAGAACATGCATAAATTAAGATACAGAAAAGATTACATTTAGAAATTTACATCATTAGCATATAATTCTTATGCTTTACTTTCTATCAACCACTTTTTGATTTGCATGCAACCTTCAGGTGAAAATGAAGGACCCCAAACCCAGACCCAAACCAGTGGTTATTCCGTATGTTGCAGGTGTTTCGGAGAAACTGAGACGTTTATTTTCTAAACATGATGTCCCAGTGGCTTTCAAACCTCAAAACACATTACGGCAAAGGCTGGTTCACCCCAAAGATCCGGTGCCCCGGCACAAACAGAGCAATGTTGTATATGCTGTTAAGTGCCAGGAGGACTGCGACCAGTTATACATCGGGGAAACAAAGCAACCACTGTTCAAAAGAATGTCCCAACACAGACGAGCTACATCTAATGGCCAGAACTCTGCAGTTTTCACTCATTTACAGGCCAGCGGTCACTCTTTCAGAGATGAGGATGTTCTCATTCTTGATAGAGAGGAACGTTGGTTTGAGAGAGGAGTAAAAGAAGCCATTTTTGTAAAGAAAGACCGTCCGTCATTAAACAGAGGTGGGGGCCTCCGTTTTCAGCTGTCCCCCTCCTACAGCGCTGCTATTGGCAGTATCTCTCCACCCCCTGTTAACAATAGGTATTAATTAGGTGTCAACGATAGCCATGTGATGTGAGTATCAGTCACCTGGAGGCAGGGCTTAAAAGCCTGAATTTTGCCTGAAACTCTCAGACTGAAGAAGTCTCTTGGAGGAGAGACGAAACGTTTCATTAAAGAAGAACCCGTCCAGAGGACCTATACAATTTTTTTCCTTTTGATTTTTTACCTGGATTACTGAGATGCATCAGGACACTTTTTGATTTATTATTTCTTAAAGATACATTTTATAACAAATTCAGCAAATTAGTTAAAAAGGAAAACCCAGTCTAGAGATCCAATTATTTGACTTTAAAATGTGAAAATAATACAGGAAAAGATAATTAAAGTCGATTCTCTGTTGCTCTTTCCATGCCAAAATCAACGTTTACTGAAAAGTTCTAAATAAATTTTTCTGGCTCGAAAACTATCCATCTGTCATGAGAAGAACGCACTAAATGCAGTAACAAAAAGAGAAACCATAAAACTATTTAAAGTGTTCTTTTTGGGGACAGCTAAATTGTTAACAAGGGCCAGATTTGGCCCGCGGACCTTCACTTTGACAAATGACACACAGTGGCTCAGTTGGTAGAGTTGCTGCCTCTCAGCAAGAAGGTTGCCGGATTGAATCTGGGCTGGGGACCTTTCTGTATCTGTGGGTTTTCTCCGGGCATTGTGGTTCTGTTTTCTCCCACTGACTAAAAACATGAATGTTAGGCTAATTTGGTAACTTTAAATTGTCCTTGTTAAAGGAAGAAGCAGGTACAAATATAATGGACGGATGGATCCAACCACAGAAACCCAATTTTGTTGAGATTTTTGCAAAATAGCTAAAATTCTGTCAGTTCTTTAACAGAAGATGCAACTCYTTATCCACAGTACTCCTATTAAAAAGGCAGGCATCAGACATTATTACTAAGAATGTTACACATTTAAAACTTTTATGTATTTATTTATTATCATAGTATGCATTCCTTCTTTTCCTTGGTCCTGTTTATTGTTGCAAAGGAAACATTTTTACATTTCTGGTAGTCACTTTTGCTTGAAAAAGATTTTATTTAAGTACCAATCTTCCTTTTTCTTGAATCCCTTTTTGCTTACAGTCTATCCCTGTTTAAAATGCTGATGCTGCAAAGCAAACAGCCATTGTACAAGGGATCAACTTCATCTAGCCAGAGCTGGAAGGACCTGGGAGACCACAGGGCTTCCAGCAGATGCATAATAAATGTCTGATGAATGGGATCAATGCACAAAAAGGTGGATGTTCTTCAGGCATTTATTATTCATAGCAAGCTTCTCACTGCATATGAGAAGAGAAATTACAGTGTGTGAGTTGGAAAAATTGTTTGGTCACACCGGGGACTTTGGGCCTTTWTCATATGAAAGTACAACACATTCACAAGGTGACTTTTAATCTTAGCTGTTACTGATGAGCCACACTGTAAAAACTTACTGCGGTCACATCAGCTGGCATTAATTTTCATTTTAGTGAATAAATTATTGGCACAACAAGTAAAACAGAATTATTATTACTGGAATTATGTGTAATCTGTAGTCTGGTTTCTGCCACACCCATAACATTTTAATCTCTACATCTAATTTCGGGAGCCACATTATTCTTGTAAGGCTTTTTCAGAAATCTTATCTCATTAATGTAAGCTTATAAATCAATATAATGTCAATAAAAAGCTTGTTTAAATGTCAGGGCAGCTTTTGCAACATTTGAAATATTATTTGCACTGGTTTGACCTAAACAATTTTTTTTTATTGTTTGCAGTAAAATATTTACATTTTGTATAAAAGGTGTTCACACAGTCAAAAAAGTGTGGAGATAAAATATCTCAGAGTTTTGTTCCCAAGTGAGGGTAGACTGGTGCACGATGGATGGATGGAGCCGTCTCAGTCGTTGTGTCCTTGGGCAAGACACTTCACCCACCTTTCCTACTGATGGTGGTCAGAGGGTCCGGTGGCGCCGATGTATAGCAGCCCCACCTCTGTCAGTGTGCCCCAGGGCAGCTGTGGCTACAGTGTAGTTTGCCATCATCAGTGTGTGAATGTGAGTGTGAATGGGTGAATGTCTGTTAGTGTAAAGCGCTTTGGGGTCCTGAGGGACTTGAAAAGCGCTCTATAAGTTCAGTACCATTTACCATTTACCATGGATGGATGGATGGATGGAAGGACGGACGGACGGACTGATGGATGGCTGGATAGATAGATGGATGGATGGTTGTGTGGATGATGGATGGATGGATGGATGGAAGATGGATGGATGTATGTGTGGATGGATGGATGGATGGATGGATGGATGCATGGATGGATGGATGGATGGATGGATGGATGGATGGACGGATGAATGGATGGATGGATGGATGGATGGATGGATGGACGGATGAATGGATGGATGGATGGATGGATGGATGGACGGCCGGAAGGCCGGATGGACAGACGGATGGATGGATGGGTGGATGGATGGATGGATGGACGGACAGACGGCTGGTTGGATGGATGGATGGATGGATGGATGGATGGATGGATGGATGGACGGCCGGAAGGCCGGATGGACAGACGGATGGATGGATGGGTGGATGGATGGATGGATGGACGGACAGACGGCTGGTTGGATGGATGGATGGATGGATGGATGGATGGATGGATGGATGGATGGATGGATGGATGGACGGCCGGACAGATGGCCGGACGCATGGATGATGGATGGACGGATGGGAGGATGGATGGATGGACGGATGGATGGATGATGGATGGATGATAGATAGATAGATGGATGGACGGATGGATGGATGGATGGATGGAAGGATGGGCGGATGGATGGATAATGGATGGGTGATGGACGGATGGATGGATGGATGGATGGGCAGATGGGAGGATGGATGGATGGACGGACAGATGGATGGATGATGAATGGATGGATGGATGGATGGATGGATGGATGGATGGATGGATGGATGGATGTCACTCTCATTGGATGAACTGATAACTGAGAAGCGTCACTTTTATTCTTGTCAGAATTTTACCCTAAAAAGTTGCTTCCCTTTAGGGGGGAAACGTGCATCAGGTCTAACTATAAATTCAGCTCTTCTCATCCTTCATCTCGTCCTTCTTCATCAATTATTCCATRGATATTCTTGCCCTTGAAGCACAAGTCTTGGGTTGAACCTCAGATGTCTCAGTTTTTGCTAATTCAAGCCAAAGACAATGATCCCGTGTGAACTTGTGGCGCAGCAATKCTCGGGTCAGCTGGGTTTTACTAATTAGGATAAAGTTCAACTCACAGTTGCTCTGTCAGCTCGTCAAGGGTCAGGAGTGTGTTTCACACATTGACTCATTAAGTTGTGCTGAGAGGTTGTGTAAAAAGATGCAGGATGTTCAGGAAGCAAAAAGCTCATTTATAAAATCCGATATTTCATTTTTAGCTACATAAAAGTTGAATAATGTACATGCATTAAATATATAGTTGATCAATTATTGGGCTGTACGGCAGGAAATGTCTCGACAAATGATAAAGAAAGATTTAGGAAAAGATATTGGGTATAAGTACATAACACTTACTGGGTACTTACCAGGTATGTACCTAGTGTTTAAAGGGTACATCATACTGTGTCATCTTTTAGCTCTTTTGAACACAACTACTTTATTTTTTAAATGTTGGACAAACATGCTTAGAATAAAGTGACTTTCATTAATGAAAACTGAAACTCATCAGAAGTTCTGTCATGAGTAAATTATAAATTCATTTACTTATTGAACCATTTAATCCTTCTTATTAATGCATTATTGATAAGAACGCCAATTCAAGCCGGAACAAGTACAACGAACCTGCGGAGGGAGAAGAGACTGCTTATGTTCCACCTGCCAGGGTTGAATTTTGGAGAGAATAAAACGAAAGAAGCTGAATCCAAAACTTCGTAACTTACCAGACTGATGCGTGGTGACGGTGACATTTGCCAGCGAGCGTGCAGCCACACCCAGCTCAGAGACGCCGTTCACGGCCTCCACGTGGAACGTGTAGTTGGCGTGCATCGCGAAGTCCAGTACAGCCACGGAGGTCCCGGTTATACCGAGCGGCCGAGGGATGAAGCGCAGGTCCGGCTCACACGGCTCGCACTGTGCCGCTCCGCCGTCGCCTCCGTCGCATCTTTGGCACAGGATGTTGTAGGTGACGTCGCTTCGGCCTCCTGTGTTGCTGGGAGGCGTCCAGTGCAAGAACAGGGCCGTGTCGTTGAGCAGGGAAACCAGGTTTCTGGGAGCCGATGGAGGTCCTGAGGACAAAAACAAGTTAGACGAAGAAGTTAATAAGAGATGCCACTTTGGTTGTTTTTTTTTTCATAACATGAATCACACTTTCCACAAGTTAGCAGCCAACAAACAGTTTTAATCTTTAGAAAGTAGAGTAGGTGGTTGGCTTTCAGCTCTGGTGTCAGCTTATTTTATTGATATCTTTCTGCCGGTCTGTGTTGCCTCTTTTAGTTTCCAAAGCTGTAAATGATCTGATTTGGCACAAAGTAAGTGAAGTTTTGCACGTCTCCCTGAATATCTGTGTGGGTGTGTGAGTGGTGCGRTTTCAAGTGTTTCTATTCCAGCAGGCATTTTGTTGGTTTCGTGCATGTAACTGACAAAACTTTCCACACCCAGTAATGAGCCTTTTATTCCATCTTTGGACATAAAGATATGAAGACAAATACAGCTGAAAGGAGGTGATTTTATATGCTGGAAGATATTTCATGGCAAAATAAGAGCTGTCAGCTCTAAACTGTAAATTTGTTGGATGCACGTTTGAGACAAACGCAAAGTGCCCACAACAATGCTGATTATTTTGAGTCTAAATTTGTTGCGCGACTTTTTTGAGCATTCTCAAAATTTAAACCTCTGTGACTCCGTCCGTCTGTCCGTCCCGTTTTCTGCCGCTTATCCAGGATCGGGTCTCAGGGGCAGCAGCCTTAGCAGAGAGACCCAGACTTCCCTCTCATCCAGCCACTTGGGCCAGCTCGTCATATGTACATATACTGTATATGGGATGCATGGGATGTACCACCGACAAATAACTGAAGTGGCTGATATTAGGAAATCCTACCAATGGCTGGAAAAAGCTGGACTCAAGGACAGCACAGAGGCACTTCTCCTAGCTGCACAGGAACAGGCCCTAAACACCAGCGCAATAGAGGCTCAGATCTACCACACCAGACAAGACCCAAGGTGTAGGTTGTGCAAGGAGGCCCCTGAGACAGTCCAGCACATAACAGCAGGGTGCAAGATGCTGGCAGGGAACGCGTACATGGAACGACATAACCAAGTGGCGGGCATAGTGTACAGGAACATCTGTGCAGAATATGGACTGGAAGCCCCGAGATCGACGTGGGGAACACCCCCAAAGGTGGTGGAGAATGACCGAGCTAAGATCCTGTGGGACTTCCAGATCCAGACAGACAAGATGGTAATGGCGAACCAACTGGACATGGTGGTGGTGGATAAAGAACAGAGGAAAGCCATTGTGGTGGATGTTGCAATACCAAGTGACCACAACATCAGGAAAAAGGAGCATGAGAAACTGGAGAAATACCAGGGCCTCAGAGAGGAACTGGAAAAGACCTGGAAGGTGAAGACCACAGTGGTGCCTGTGGTCATCGGGGCCCTCGGGGCAGTCACCCACAAACTGGAGCAGTGGCTAAAACAGATCCCAGGAACAACATCAGACATCTCAGTCCAGAAATGTGCAGTTCTAGGCACAGCTAAGATACTGCGCAGAACCCTCAAGCTCCCAGGCCTCTGGTAGAGGACCCGAGCTCAGAGGATGAAAGAGACCACCCGCGGAGGGTGAGAAGGGTATTTATATATACAGTATATATATATATATATATATGTATACTAGGGGTGCAACAATACCCGTACCCGTATAGAACCGTACCGAACAGTGCTGTATGGAACAACACAGATTTTTAACATTTACTTTATCAACTTGTCTTCTGAAGATGCTCTGTGTTGAAGGATCAGTGGATCTGTGTTCGACTACTCCACCTAGGCTGCATTTTTGAGCGCAGATCTATTGAGAAACTTGCTGTTTCAGCAACATTTAATTAAAAAACTGTACTTTTGAGGTTAAACAAATGTTCATAATTAATTTAAATAAACTACAAGTTAAAAAGGGCATGGAAATTTATCTTTTTTGTGTCGAAAAAGTATCGAACCGTGAGACTAAAGTATCGAACCGAACCGTGAATTTCCTGTATCGTTACACCCCTAATGTATACCGTATATCAGAATGAATGTTTAGGATTCAACCCACTTCCCATTTAATTTAACATAATTCCCCTGAAACTCTGTGTTGCAAAAAAAATAAAATAAATAAAAACAATATTCTCAAACCATCTGATGTAAGTTTGATGCAGCATCAAAGTCCACAACAATGCATTTGCTCAAATCACTGTTTTTACGGTTTGAGTTGTGTTTGAAAGCAAAAAGTGTGTTTCTTGTGATTTGAACTTTTAGTTTAGATTAACTTTTCTATCAAAAATCCTCCTTCCGTCACAGACGTCTATCGACCTCAGAGAAGACAAATCTTTCTTTCAGCAAAATTGTTCTTTTAATACAATAATTTAATTACATTCAAGGTAGAGGGTTAGGTCGCGTCTCTGCTTAGCAGAACATTCATTCTGAGTAATTCTTGACCTTCTGAGGCGACTGAGACAGATTTCTAAAAGTACATCAGACAAATCTGATTGTAATAAGTTAAGGTGAATCTTTCTGCTCTTTCTGACCCTCTGGATGTAGATTATCAGCTGAGTATAACTGGATTAATCTGAACTAAGTTAAAGCAGAGTTAAAGTGTCTGTGACATATTTTTTTCATAGTAAATTTGAATGCATTTTTGGAAATATAACATCGATAACATACTGCAAAAAGAAATCCATGCTGCTGAGATGACCAGTTGTTGAGATATTTGCATGTGAACAACAGGAAGTGATGTCAAAGGGGAATGTCTTAAAAAAAACAGAACATTGCTGCAATGGCTAAGAACAAAGACAGTAGAGAAAAAAATCTGATGTTTAGATTAGTTTGAGTCACTCTCTGAGAGATGAAGAAGAGAATTCAACAAAGTKCACGGAGTTCCCCTTTGATCTTACTTCCTGTTTCACTTTTGAACTCCAAGTTCAAAGGAAAATATGCCAGTTATGGGAAAAAATGGGTAAAGTCATGTGTTTATGCCAATGTTCTTAGTTATAAAGATGTTTAGTTTGACTTTTTTTGTATTTGAAGGATAAGAATGCACAATAAAATTAGAGTTTATCTGCTGTTAAGGACAAAAAGAGGATTCTAGTTTGTCTTCTAATAGCTAAAGTTCACCCTTCCAAAAATGTACTGTACATACTGTACTATACTGGACAGCAAAATGTCCACTCGGTTAATGCTTCATAAGACTAACAGTTTTCAAAGTTTGACTAACTTGTGCATGCCATCGTGGGGGGGTCTTTGTTGGCCCTATAGAAGCCTTTATCGCAGTGACAAATGGTGGCGGCCTGGTCATGGCTGGAGCTGTGCAGAGGACACTTCGTGCATTTGAAGTTTCCAGCAGTTCCCTTGAAGAAACCCGGTCTACAAGCTGGAAAGAGAAAGACAAAATAAAAAAAATWATGGATAAGTTTAGTGATCGCACTCATGGGATCGTTTTTCTATTGGATTATCTTTGGTACAGATTGATCAACAAACATGAATATTAAGCAGGTTTTAAACTCTGAAGACCTGYAAGATGCTCATTACAGAGTTAGGCAGACCTGCCCAAAGAAAAGTTATACAATAGAAAAAAAACACCCACTTTTTTTTCTCATAATAACTAGTTTGTCCTTAAATGAAAAAAAAAATCCACAAATGTCCCAGAATTCTTTTTATTTTAATCAGCAGGTTTATGGTTCCTTCTTTTAGATTTCCATATATACAGATAAGAAATAAAAAAACGTATTTCAGGTGAGACATTCAATATTCTCAGGTTTCCACCACTTCCCTTTTTGACAACCATGATTACAGTTTTACCTTCCAATTTCTTTCTTTCAATCAACAAAACCAATCTTCCGTACCTTATCTTGTTAATACTTCACCAGCTGTTTTGCTCTGCCTCACTTTTCACCTTTACTTGTTTTTCCATTTTTCTTCCAGTATATTTTATTTTTCCATTTGCCCTCCTGCTTTCCTCTCTGTTGCCTTTTCCCCCCACACGGCTTATCAGAAGATGACAAACCCTCTGAACGTTTACCCGCTGACATCACTCTGCAGGCTGGAATAAAGCACTAATGGTAAAGTTATTTAATTTTGGGAAGTTTTATTGCAGAAATTAGAAGTTTGAGCGTACACGTGTGCAGCCAGGATATTGATTTCAAAATGACCTGTGTGTGTTGCGGGGATGGGGAGGCAGGTAAAAACACTATATAGCCTGTAGAAAAAAGCTTTTTGCTACATGCAATCATATTTCAGTTTGTGTTACATGCAGGGAGTCAGACCTGTTTAAGTCTTGGTTTAATGAATGACACGTACTTAATTTTTTTGTTTGTATTAGTCAAAATCAAAAGCTATGATTTAATCTATATCATACAGTGAAAACCCTAAAAATATTCAGGCCTGCTGCCTTTTATGTCAGAGTTTTAAATTGAAGATTATTTGATGGTGAGAGCAAACAGAGTTGTAGCCATTTTGGTCAAACACTGTGAGTGACTCATGTGATAATGTATAACAAGATTTTGTGGGATGTATTAGTCCTCAGAGTATGTGTTGAGGACAAGTCTCAGCTACTATAACATCCAATTTTAACTTAATATCTGTAAAATTACCTGAGTTAATGTGTTCCTTTTGGTTAAGTTTAATTATTTGTAGCATCTTGATTTAAATTGACTCCAAAAGTTAGACTGGATTCATTAATCTAAGGAATACTTTTCTGAATGTTTTATTATTCTACTAAAACTAAACTCTTTTTGTGTTTATTGTGAAGGACATTTTGAATAAATCACTTATTGATGCCTGTCTAAGTACTACTTTCTGAATTTTTAATTAAAATCTGTCTGGTTCACGAGATATTTTGCTACATCACAGACAAAATGAAGGATTTTATTTTGGCTTCAGATTAAGATTTTCAGACAACAACCTWAACACAAGTGTCACTCAGTAATCTCCAGACTAAAAGTCAAACATGGAACATCACCAGCATATTTAAAGGAGACATCCTGCTTTTCTTTTCCACATGTTGGTGTCGATATAAAGGGGAACTGCAATGCTTTGGTCTGAATTCTTCCTCATTGTAACTAGTGCTGGGCGGTATACTCTTTTGTACCGAAAACCATTTTTTATTTTTGTTATGATATGAATTTTCTGAATAGCCTGAACACGTTCAGAATGTTTAGTTGCGTGCGCCGGTGAACTGTTTCCCGGCGGACACTTTTCCTCGCTGCACCGCTATGTGCGTTAGCATGCTAATGTTGTTGTTGGAGCAGCTTGTTGGTGGGTGGTGGGTGGTGCTTCAGATGCTTATTTTGGCTGTGTCCAAAACGACAGGCCGGGTCCTCCGGAGGACCCAGACTACCCGATCGAGGTGGGCCGTGTCCTTGGTAGACCGGGAAGACRGGACAAAAAGAGGCTGTGAATTTGGACGGTCTAGCCTCTCGTCCTTACGTCATGTCACCTAGCAACTGTGAACAAGCTAACTTAAATCAAAACTAGAAAATATATCAATATATTAGCATTATTAATATCACAAAACTATAAATTAACCTAAAGGTATCATTTGAAGAACTAATTGACCACTGTAGGTTCATGTTTATTTCGCGTTTTTATGACAAAAATAATATTTAAAAACATGTCTATACTAACGATAAAAGTATTAGAACTACAACCGCTAAAAATATATTTTATATCACCATATTTTTTTTAAAATGTATTCTTTTGTCTCGCTTCGTCCGCCATTATTAGCTTAAAAAAATCTCCGGTCAGGCCGCAAAGCATTATGGGATACGCTGGGCCGGGAAGGATCCATCAGACCAGTCCTTCAAATGGAGGAAAAGGAAGGACGAATTTGTCGGCCGCATCGGAGGAGTCTTCGGGTTTGGACGGCCTTCGTCGCGGCGCTGTGACATATGTGGCRGACGAATTCGGCCTTCGGAGGACCCGGCCTGCCGTTTTGGACACAGCTATTGACTTAAGTAAAAAAAACATCCCGTTTTCACCATCGCTGAATGTAGTAAACATCTCTTCAGTGACGTGCARAGTTAGATTTAACACGCAACGTTATAATTGAGACGTTAATGCATGGAGACTTTAACGTGCTTCTATTTTGAAAAGCCCGGGGGTCAGGGGAAGTAGTTTTGTAGTAGAGCTGAGATGACTGGTGTGCAAGGTGAGTCGTCCTTTTAATCAACACACGATAGACCCAATAAGGATCTTTTCTCAACCCTTCACGATCGGACCAAATTGCATGATTACTGTCTACAACCAGGCAAAGAAGAAAAGACGTACAAAGGAGGGAAACAGCGACACAGACAGAGGTACAATAAAAAAAAGTCAATGAGCAACATTTGTACATTTTATTACCAGCTGAGCTGTGATAAAAAAATACCGTCAAATACTGTGAAACCGGTGTWATTGTTGAAAGTACCYTGATATAAAATTAGGTTCATACCGCCCAGCTCTAATCGTAACTCCACAAACCCAAGTACACAACAAAATATACTGTATTTTACAACTTAAAAAGTGGATTTTGCAGAATATATCCTTTTTAACGTAAGAGCATACTAAAAATTTTTAAACAAATAGTCCAGTCATCTTTAAAGTTATGTTTCATCTAATAATTATCAATAACTAGATACCGCATATTGGTAGCATATATGAACCCCGCATGTATGCAAAGCACCAGAACCCTGAACTCACCAGAACAGAATAATTGTTTTGGGTGGGGGGCTCATTTGTGCACCCAATGAATAGCCCTTCATCAGAGTTAAACAACAAAAAATAAATGAATAAATCTGAAGCTCCTATGTTGAATAATTTTTGAGATATAGGCATCTTTGTATGTACAGACACCCGCTTTTTAGATGGAGCCCCCTCTTCAAATTTGGGGTCTATCATAAAACCATTGGTTGGATCAGTGTAGGTCGGACACATCTACATTCCTGCCAAATTTCATGTTGATCCGTGCAAGTGTTTCCGTGCTACAGTTGACCAAATATCTTGAAGAATAAAATAAAATAATAAAATAAAATAAAATAAAATAAAATAAAATAAAATAAAATAAACAGTACGAAAACAATATGACCCCCACTTCACGTACGGGGGTCATAATTAGTACCAACATTAGCCATAGAGCACAAAGTAAAACTCTTTGTTCAGGTTAGGCTAACGGCTACACAACTAGTGCAGACTGTTGGACAGCACAAAAGTTGAAGGGACAATCCATTTAAGTTGAGACTCCAGGGTTAAAAGTCGTCTCTGGCTTTATGTTGCTTGAAACAGATGGTGCCAGAATGGATGTTTACCCTGCCCGGTCCCTCAGCTTTGATATGCAGATGGCAAGTTCACAGAGAATGAGAGATGTTCTAGTCTGGCTGGGCTGAGTTGGAGGACAGAGTAAACACAGTCCTAATGGACACGAGAGGGATACACAAAAAAAAAATAAACTCCAGTACAACCAGGAGATTATTGATTTCCTCATTTCTTGTTCCACTTTACCTGAATTTAAGGTCGCAGGCAGCAAAACCAGGAATATTTTCCAGCTCAGTCAAAAACAGACCCATTAAATTGTGTTATTTAAGGTTCCTCAGCAGTAAATTCAGTCGACAGCAGGAGCAGAATTGAGCTGTAGCTCCGTGAATGACATCCCGAGTACAGAATGTGGCAACGCGTTTGATTTTCAACCCAAAATATTAGAATTTCTCTGCTGAGTGTAATCACTCATCCAACCAGTGGGTGTTAGGGCTTCACAGACTATCAGCTCTGATTCAAATGAATTTTGAAAAGACATCTCTATTAGCGTCCCCCCCACCATAAAACCGTGCCTCCTTTTGAATGCGGTGCCGTGACGAAAGGATGCGGAACAAACAGAATCAGCTCTATGATGTTGCCTTATCTAGGTCATGATATAACCAGCCTATCTCTGAGTAATCCTCCTGTGGCTGACACTGAATGAAAGCAATAGAATAATAAAGTGTTGGATTGAGATGTCAGAGCAGCCTGGTAGGATGCTGTTGGGGGTGAAAAGCAGGGTTTGATAAGCACTGATGCCTTTGTTTAGGCAGCTGGGAGGGAAAGATGGACGTGTTAGTGCCGAGCTCTGCTTCTATTCGGGAGCGCTGGGGTTTTCCCTATTCTCCCCCTGCCTCTCTCATCCGCTCGCTCCCTCTCTCCCTCTTTTGCTTTTTCCCCACGCTCCCTCTCAGACAGCTTTGATCACAGTACCCTTTGAAGCAGTGCTCCAAAATGAAAACGAGGAGAAAGCAGAAGTCACCGAAAGTTCACGCCTAAACTTCCTGCAACTACTTGCAAAGTGCGCATCTTTATAACGGCATAAGCTCTGACATACCTACAGAAATTATTCAAGGAGGGGGGGAAATAAAGACCCGCTCATAAATCATTAATTACAGGGACGTGTTGTGCTCCTATTGACCATTCTTTCTAACTAATGATAATGAGTTTCAGGACGCTGTTTCTGAATTCCACAAAGATATTTTTTAGTATATACTCTTTTAATTAATCAGTGATTATTGCACAGAAGAACAATACAGCGAGTTAATGCGGGACCTTTGTTTCCACTGTGGAACAATAGCAGCTCCAAGGGATGAGAACTTTAAAGAAAGAGTAGTTTGAGGTGATATGAATCAGGCTTTGATCATGTAAAAAAAAAACTGTTTTTTTCCAAAACAACATTTTCATTTATTGTTTTAAAAATGTTCCTCAGACACACAAAACTGTTTAAACTGTTTCGATCTTCAAGCACATAAAAACACTAAGAATAACTCAAAATGTTTGATAAACAATAAAAAAATAAACAAAAATTGCACACACACACACACACGTTTGTCTACCTATACATATGGGGACATTCCACTGACTTCCCTTAAATTTCTACAGCCTAATTCTGACCATTTGCACTAAAACTAACCTAAACTTAATTCACACCTTGGTCCTAAACCAAACCCCTGACCCAAAATCAGCCTCCAAAGTCATGGGGACCGAGCTTTGGTCCCCACAAGGAGCATTCGGTCCCCATGAGGCTGCATTTTCCTGAAAAATCATCCCCACCAAGTTTTAAAAACAATGGCGCACACACACACACACACACACATGTTTGCACAGCTATCCAATTGGGGACATTCCATTGACTTCCATTACATTTCTACAGCCTAACCCTGACCACAAACCCTAAGGCTAACCTCACAGGTACCTATCTGACCCTAAAACTAACCTAAATCCAATTCACACCTTGGTGCTAAACCGAACCCCCAACACACCAATGACTTTTAAACCAAATGGGGACTCGACTTCTGTCTTCAAATGCACCAGTTGTCCCCAAAGGTAGGATTTTTGTCTTAAAAATGTCCTCAAATGTCACCAAAGCCGTAACCACACACACACACACACACGCACGCACGCACGCACGCACACACACACACACACGCACGCACGCACGCACGCACACACACACACAA